AACTGCTGAAATCTGTATTAAGCCCCACACTGAAGGCTTGAAGGCTCTTCCCACCTCCAGTGCCTCCAACCCCAAGGATCAGGCACAGGAATGAACTGGACCCAGCAATGTGCCTCTGACCTGTCCCAAACTGCTCTGGAAAAACAACATTTCTCAGTCAGCCCATGTAACCTCCCAGGCTGTGACCTGATAGGAAAACCCCTCTGAGAACAGCACACTAAATATTTAAATATTTATTTATCCTGTTTTCCCTTGCTCACCTGGCAATTTCTTTTCCAGTTGCTGCTGTTCTTCTTCCAGTGCTGGTTCTTCTGGTAACCTTTGGTCTACAGACACTGAACTGGCAGCAGAAACTCCACTGCCAGAGCGGACTCTTCTGCCAAGGAAACAGGAATTACAGGTGCTTAACAGAACCCAGGCCTACCCAAATTATTTCTGATTTAATGATGAGATCAAATTAAATGCAATGATGTAATGTTTAATGGTACTCGGTGTTCACTCAGTGCTGCCCAGAGGGTCTCACTCAGGCACTGCCTCAGGAGAACAGGATTTTCCAGGATCCCAGGAGCTGAGAACCCCAGTCCCAAATTCTGCTTCCAGATGGGTTCAACCCTGTCCCCAAGATCTGTCACTTGGGGGGAGATTTTTCCCCAGGAAGTCTGCGTTTGGGGAAATGCTGACTTAAACTACAACAAAAATAGCAGAGACAGAGGCAGAGCCCACTATAGTCAAGCTAAAAGCAATATCCCAGGTGGAATACACAAAACTTGGGAATCTTTAGGAGGATACCTGAAAAACATGGTATAAAAACACTTACTTCCCTTGCTGTTGCTGTCTTCCCTTCTATTTTTCCACAAAGAAGTGAAATGGAGCAAGAGAAGTGATGAGTGACCCCCCTGTTCCCAGACCCAGCTGTACCAAAAGAGGTCTGGATTTGGTGCAGTGCAAATCCATATTGGAATTCCAAGACATTCCAACTGCTCCACAGGAGGATAAGCTTGAACTTAAATCTAGATTTCTATGGCCAGACTGAGCAAGTTTGGAGAGCGTGCCAGCATAAACACCCACCCAAACCCTGTTCTTACAGGCAGAAGGTGAGGGCTCAGTGTTCTGCTCTTGGCTCTCACAGAACCATCCCAAAGGAAATACAAAACCCAGGAGTGAGATTCCCAAGGGATGAGCAGTTACCTGAAGGAAGGTGGGATGTACTCAGGGGGCAGGGCAGGTGGCAGTGGCTGACCAGACATTGCTACATCAATGAGGTGCATAGCCAGGATAAACTCCTCAGCTGTCAGCTTCCCATCTTGATCAATGTCAGAGAGATTCCTTGTTAAAGGGAAGGGGCAAAGCAAGGAAATTATGAAATATTAAAAAACACTGTTCAAAGGCATTGTTTCAACACATACAGTTCTAAATTCATTCCATTTTTTTCACTATTTTTTCCACACTACTCTGCTTTTGCTAAAGAAATGAAAAGCAAACCCCTATTTCCCCCATTTTTCATGGCTGTCTGCCTGAAATCCAGCCTTGCAGCCACTTCTCCTTCACCTGCTCTGAGTGCTGCCTGGAGCATGTGCCAGAGAAGGAGCTTTAACCACTGGAGCTCTCCTGAACATCCAAAAAACCAGCTCAGGTGTTTGGCAGAACTTTTAGGTTTGGTCTCCTTCGTCCCTGGAGGCTCCTGTCTCACTTTCCAGGGCACCCACTGGCAGTGAAATCAAAGCCACTGATGTTGCAGTCCTGACAAGCACCAACCCACCCTGGCCTTATGCACATATTAAAAATGATGGACTAATGTCTCTGGATGGCCCAAAGCAAAGCTCCAACAGAGGCACAAAACGCTTTTACTGCTGCTAAGGTGGTGTGGGATTAAATTAACAGCCAGGGACAGCAGCAGGGAGCGGCTGCAGCTGGCCCAGCAGGGATTTAGGTTGGCTTTTAGGGCAAGGCTCTTCTTTCCCCAGAGGCTGCTGGCACTGCCCAGGCTCCCCAGGGAATGGGCACGGCCCCGAGGCTGCCAGAGCTCCAGGAGCATCCAGGGATGCCCAGGCTGGGCTTGTTGGGGGGTCTGGGCAGGGCAGGGGGGCACTGGGGGATCCCTGGGGGTCCCTCCAGCTCAGGATTTGTTTCTCTAGCATGCTGCACTCTAATCATGCAGGAAAATCTCCCATGATACTGTGAACATCAAAGTGAAATAAATGATAAATTCTTTTGAAGTCCCAAGGCACAGGAATTTGCTGATGGGATTCAAGCTTGGGAGACCATCACTCGACCCACACCTGTGACACTGAATTAACTCCTCAGGCTGGAGCACAGGAAGAAGCCAGGAGCTTGGCAATGCGCCATGCACAGAAACTGCTGATCAGCTGGCAGATACCTGGGTTAGAACTCCCAGGACAGCCCAGAGGCTGAGCATCAGCTCCTCCCTTTGAGTGTCTGAGTCAGGGATTTCAGCCCCAGCACAGGCTGACAAACCTCAGCCCAGACAGCAGCAGCCCCCCAGCAGGGCTCAGGAAAGGACCAGCAAGAGCTGCAATATCCCCTCCTTATCTCAGTGCATTGGCAGCTGTCAATGTCCCCAGCTCAGCAAGTCCTGTCTGCAGCTCCTGGAGCGAGCTGGTGGCAGCTGCCTGCCCACACAAGCACTCCAAGGCTGGCAAAAGCAGTGCATTTCTTGGTTAATCATCTGCTGGGGGACTGGGTTGGTTTGTTTTTATCCCTTTGTTAGGAAACAGAGAAGGAAAGAGTGGTTTTTAATTTATAACACAACTCCCAGTGCTTTGCAAAGAGAACAAGTGCAGCTGAATGGCCTTGTCAGAGTGACTGCACCACTGCCATCCTCACACTGAGCCCCTGGGCCAGCTCCAATGCTTCTCAAGCAAACACTCCTAAAGGACAGAAGTTAATTAGGAACAACTTTCCATGGGGCAATAAAAACATTAAATAAAGTTCAGCAAACAACAAGTTGGAAGGAAAAAGGGAAGCTGAGACAAATCCTTTTAAAATCCATTGTTGTAAAGGTCTCTAAGTCCAGCCCTTGGGAAATCAGCCCTCCCAAACCCATGGAAAAGGCAGAGGAACCTCACAGAAAGCGTGGTTTGGGTGAAGATTCCTGTTCTGTCATCTGTACAAAGGTAAATGTTTCCCTGGTGTTCTGTCAGGGGATGTGGAAGGCACAGGAACATCTGCTCTGCCTAAAAACCCAGCACTGACCCCCAACTTCCAAAACATCACACAAAAGATGCTCCTGGTGCTCTTGTGGAATAATATTAATAAAGGCATAAAAGTGGAGGTTTTGTTTATAAAGTTACACATGACAAAGAGCAACGTGTGATTTATCAGTGGGACTGAAAATGGAGAAAACCCCAGGGACTCCAGTGCAGAGGTTTCAGAAGAATTTGTGTTTTGTTGGAAATGGAAACATTTATTTTACCATATTGTAGCCAGCTGAGCCTGGGGTAAACTTGACTGCATAAGAATCGTTCTTGCTTGGGGACCTAAAAGGGAAACAAATATTAACAAAATTAGCAAGAAATGTGACCAGCAGGAACTTGGCTCCCCCAAATAACCAAGAAAAAACACTTCACTTCTGCACAACCACAGAATCCCAGACTGGGCTGGGCTGGGAGCGACCTCGGAGCTCATTTCATTCCCAGCCCTGCCATGGCAGGGACACCTCCCACTGTCCCAGCTGCTCCCAGCCCCAGTGTCCAGCCTGGCCTTGGGCACTGCCAGGGATCCAGGGGCAGCCAAATCACTCAGATTAAAACCCAAGAAAGCTCTAAACCAGAGCCATGCACAGAACTGTTAAAATCAAGCCAGACTAGTCTCTTCCTGGAGCTGGACACTGCTCCCAACAGAGGCTGAACCAAGCACTGGAAATGGCAGCATGAGTTTTCACAGAGCTCACTGGACCCTTTTCCAGAAACATTTCCCAGGGTCAACTTTGCAGAAAATAAAGGAGAGGTGGTGATAAAATGATCCCAGCTGCAATGAATATTTGCTTCTAAACAAGACCATTAAGCACCTGGGAGATTCAAACAGGAAAACACTGATGAGTCTCTTCTATGTGAACAACACCCCCAGTGGCATGAAATTGGCTCTTACAGCTGGAAACAAGGAGACAACAGAAGCTGTGCCAGTACCTGTCAAGTGTCCACTCATGGTTTTGTCGTGGCTGTTGAAGAGCTGCCGGTACTTGAGCCGTGAGGACTGAGGCACAGCCCACTCTGCCACGGCAGGAGAGCTGCAAGGACAGCAGGGAGAACAGGGAGAATTGGAAATTCCATCTCAGGAAGGCAATGGCAACAATCACAGAGTCATAAATCACAGTAGGGTTTGGGCTGAAGGGAGCTCAGAGCCCACCCAGTGCCCCCCTGCCATGGCAGGGACACCTCCCACTGTCCCAGGAGCTCCCAATGTCCAGCCTGGCCTTGGGCACTGCCAGGGATCCAGGGGCAGCCCCAGCTGCTCTGGGCACCCTGTGCCAGGCCCTCAGCCCCCTCACGAGAGGCTGAAGTGCTGCACTGAGATCAAGTTTTATGCCTGAAAATGTTCTTTTCCCCAGTTTTGCTGTGAGGGTGGGAAGGTACTGAGGTGTCCCAGAGCAGCTGGGGCTGCCCCTGGATCCCTGGCAGTGCCCAAGGCCAGGCTGGACATTGGGAGCTCCTGGGACAGTGGGAGGTGTCCCTGCCATGGCAGGGGCGGCACTGGGTGGGCTTTGAGGTCCCTCCCACCCCAAACTATTCCAAGATTCCATGATCTAATATTCCCAGCTATTCCTGAAACCACCACAGGTTTGACCTCTTGTTTGCAAACATTTATCACAATTCAGTCTTATTGGAAGATAATTTTTTTCCTAAGAGTTTTGCTTTTTTCTTTACTGGCAGAGAATGAAAGAACCTAAATTGTTCAGAGGAGCTACAAGCTCTTACCTAAACATGTAACAGGAAATGCAGAATAACATTTTACCCTGTCTTTAACTGTTTCTCTTAGCTAAATAGAGCTGATGAAGGAAAAGAAATGTAAAATATACTGGAAATGCAAAAAAAAAAGGTGTGAAAAAGCCACATATTTACGTAGAGTTTCTCATAAGGGAACGAGTGAGGAATGTAATATTCCCAGTTTTAGTTCACTCCCATTGCAGGCTGAGCTGATTTGCAGCTCTAATTTCCCAGGCTTGATGGCTGAGAAGTCTTAATTCTAAAAAACAATGAGCAGAGTTTTTCTGCCTTTAGGCACATTCAAACTTTGTCCTTTTTTTGACCTTATAAACCACTCTCACATGACAAGACACAAACCAGTATCTTTATTTCTATTTTTGATTTCCAAACTCTTGAGCTTTAATAATACCCTACATGGGAGCAAAGCAAAAACAAGCTGGATAATATCTTATAATAATCTTATTTTCAATAATGAAAATAAGAAAAAATGTTAAATATTTAATTTTTACTCATAGGAATTCCTCCTCAGTTTTGCTGGATTTGGGGGTTCCATACATTTTAACTTTTGTGTTACATACAAATTATATCAGAACATCCCTATTCTGTTCCTGGCTGGTTTAGATTTCAGAGAGAAAATGAATTGCTTTGAAAGACTTTTAATTATTTGCCAATACTGAATAGTGTCACTTATCTAATAGCAGGGCAATAAACAAGCCTGCAGAAGGAAATGAAAATAAAACCAGATCATTTAATTGTGTCCCAACCCATTTTCCTCTTGCAAAAAACCTGTGGCATAAAAAACCTGCCATAGATCTGTGAGACAGATGATTTACAAGGACTTTGGGAAATCCCTCTCTCATCTCCTCTAAGGAAGTTCTATTTTGTTACAACCATTTCTTAAAACCCTTTCTGCCCAACCACGCATTTTTCTAGGCCTTGGAATAATCTGAAAGCCTTTTAAGTGACTTTTCACACAGAACTTTAAGAATATAGAAGAAACAGTGATGTGGAGTACATTTAAAATAGGAGACCGATTAAATATTTTGCTTTCGGCTATTACCCTGGAGTTGCTAATTTTAAATAATGTATTACTTGTCTTGTTTTCCCAGTAGCAGAGGAGTCTGTGCACGATGCAGGTTTTGTTTATAGAAGCAAATGCTGTTCCAAAAATCAAGTGAAGATGTCAGAGCTGTTAGTAGTTATTATTTTATTTCCATGATTCCCTGCTCCTGGAGCATTCCCTGTAAAGCCACAGCACCCCACGGAATGCTGAAGTGGTACCTCTGCAGGAACTGATTTCTGCCAGAACTATTATTTCAGACAACCACCTTGGGAAAGGGAAGTTTTCCCAGCCCTGGGGACCCAACCCCCCCTGGCTGCCCCTCCCTGCCCCAGCCCCACCTGGCCACGTCGAAGGATTGTGCCTTTTGCAGCTTTGCATTGAGCTGAGCTCCCGGCCCGGAGCGGCTGAAGGAAGAACTCTTTGGCAAAGTGGCTGGGAAGAGAGAAAACAGGGATTTATTGCTATTCCCATGACATTCATTCAGCTCCTACATCAAGTACAAGCACTGTGGGTCTGATGGGAACTTTTTTAACAATATAAAGATAACGGAGTCCAGCAGGACAGGGGGAAACACAAGGGCACTTCCCTCGTATCTTTTTACTTCCACAGCTTTGTGGAAACCCTGTTGATGCCAAATTACATTTTGGTACATGTTAGAAACAGTATGTAGCTCAGTATTAAAGTCACCCTAAAAAACAGCAGTACTTCAGTAGCTATAAAGAGACAGGAGAGGCCCAATTTCCACGCAACAGTTTCCTGGCAAGTTCATTTCTCCAAGTGCTGTTTTATCTTCTCACCACGAGGGACTCCTGCGGGAGGCCACGTCCACATTCCTTCCTTTAGCTCTTCTCCAAGTGTGCCAAGTGGGCTAAAGCAAAACACAGTCCTTCCCCAAAGGCATCACTCGGAGTGGCTAATTCCATGTGTCCCAAGGAAATGCAGGGGAGCTGTTAGGAGCAGGAGACAGAGAGTGAGAGCAGCGTACCGGGGTGAGCGAAAGCAGGCAGGGGCTGGATGACAGCAGGAGCTCCGTTAGCCAGGGGAGGGACGGCGGCGGGGACAGAGGACACCAGTGGGGGGGACATCCCCACGACTGGGATGGATGCCATGGGCACTGGGGCCACAGTGGAGAGGGATGGCATGTTGGCAATGCCCCCGAGACCTACGGGCGAGAAAAGCACAGGTTGGTTCTGATGCGCGCCCGCAGGGGCACCGACAGCTCCAGCGGCAGCTCCCGAGCCCTGGGACAGCCCTCCCAGCACAGCAGGGACAGGAACGGGACACAGGGCACAGGGACAGCCCCACAGCACTGCCCCAAACTGTCCTGCAGCACCTGCAAACAAAGGAACTGTGGGCCTTGGAGGGAGTGAGGAGCAGCACTGGCAGGCCCAGGGAGGAGTGAAGCCCCAGGCTGAGACAGGAGCTGCAGGATTCGATCCCCCAGGAGCTGCAGGATTTGATCCCCCAGGAGCTGCAGGATTCGATCCCCCAGGAGCTGCAGGATTTGATCCCCCAGGAGCTGCAGGATTTGATCCCCCAGGAGCCGCAGGATTTGATCCCCCAGGAGCTGCAGGATTTGATCCCCAGGCTGACCCAGGAGCTGCAGGATCAATGTTCCAGCCTTTAGTTGGGATGAGACAGGGCAAAGCTAATGGGGAGAGCAGAGGAATGAGGGGAAGCAGAGCTCAGGGAACCAGGGAGGTTAAGGAGGGCCAGTGGTGCCAGGGGAGGAACAAGGGGTGTGCAAACAGCTCACATCAATCTACAGGGAATGAGAATCACCCATTTGGCTGGGGTTTGTGTGAGTTCATTTCATTCTGCCTTTTCTCACTTAACCCTGTATTTGCTGTGCCCAGTTTCACTGTTTTCTTCCAAAGAATTTTATTTCTGACTGTGAAACATGTGGGGGTTGCAGTGGATCAAACCACACTGCTGCAAGCAGTTTATCAAAGGCACTGTTCCCTTTTCTCTGGACATTTAGATGGATCTTGGGCAGGAATTGTTCCCTGGCAGGGTGGGCAGGGGCTGGGATGGAATTGCCAGAGCAGCTGGGGCTGCCCCTGGGTCCCTGGCAGTGCCCAAGGCCAGGCTGGACAGTGGGGCAGGGACAGTGGGAGGTGTTCCTGCCATGGCAGGGATGGATCAGGACAGGTTTTAGGGTCCCTTCTGACCCAAACCACTCCATGATTCCCAGGCACAACAACCCTGAGTACAGCAAAGACTAAAGCAGAAAGGGAAAGAACCTCTCATGATAGGAGTCAGAGGTTCAGCTTTATTTAGTTATTTACCTTTCCCCATCTCATCTTCCCTACTCTTTTCCTAGAAATGATGGTGACTTTGGCAATACCTCACCCCAGCAGCTGTTCACCTCCTACCAGAGCAGAAGGTGCAGGGATTGTAAAGAACAGCAGAGTAGATCCTGCCAAAGCTGGAGACCCAGTAATGCCAACAGTTTAAATCACAACTCCAGCCCTTTGGAATGCACTAGCCCACTACCTGAGCCATGTTTTGTTTGGAGCAGTGCAAACCTGAAGCAAACAGGAGCTCAGCTCAGGTAAAAGCCCAGTGCAATTTGTCTCAGTGCGCTGGCAACATCTGTGTTTGAGTCCATGTGCTTCTAGAAGCACTTTTCCCTAAAGTTTTCTTGGAGAAACTGCAAAAGGACAGTGGAATTGCTTCAGTCCCAGGGAACAATGAGGAAGATGGAGGAAAACAGGGATCTTACCAAATCCTGGGGCACCGGGCAGGGCGAGGGGTGGCTGCTTCATGACGGGCGGCAGCGTGGCCGGGAGCTGATACCCCTGGAGCTTCAGCTTGATGAGTTTCATAGCTATGGAAAACTCCAAGGGATCCATCCTCCCATCATTGTTCATGTCAGCTAGAGCCCTGCAAAACACAGTGTTTTCACAGTTACATTCTGCAACCAGCAACTTCAGGCCCTGCCCCAGGAGCAGGCTCATGTGAGTATGGATAGTCAAGGCTGATGAAGGGTCTGGAGCCCCAGGAGGGGCTGAGGGAGCTGGGAAAGGGGCTCAGCCTGGAGCAAAGGAGGCTCAGGGGGCCCTTGTGGCTCTGCACAAGTCCCTGGCAGGAGGGGACAGCCGGGGGGGTCGGGCTCTGCTGCCAGGGAACAGGGACAGGAGGAGAGGGAACGGCCTCAGGCTGGGCCAGGGGAGGCTCAGGGTGGACAGCAGCAGGAATTTGCCCATGGAAAGGGAGCTCAGGCCTTGGCAGGGGCTGCCCAGGGAGCTTTGCAGTGCCCATCCCTGGAGGTGCCCAAGGAAGGGCTGGACGTGGCACTCAGGGCTCTGGGCTGGGGACAAGGTGGGCATCGGGCACAGCTGGGACTCCCTGGGCTGCGAGGGCTTTTCCAGCACCAGGGAATTCTGGGATTCTCAGTAATTTCCACCCAAAACTATGCTAGGCTAAAAATAAGACCTAAACTTAAGAGCTCCTTGATTTCTTTCCTGGGATGATTAACAAATAATTTTCAAGTTGTTTTTCAACTCTTGGAGGAATTGCAACAAAGCATGCAGAACAAATGTAGCTGTACAAGAACTTTGCAAAATCACACCAATGAAAGCACAGAGTCCTCAAACAGCAGCACAGAGAAGCAAACCACTGAGTCTGCAAATCTGTACTTTAGTTCCACTTAAAATAAAACATTCTTTAAATCTGTGACTCCCCTCAGCACAGCTCCATCTGTGAGTGTGCAAATGTGTTTTCAATTAAACAATAGCACTCAAGATGAAACATTGAGCCTAGGCCTTGAATAGGCTTTCAGGGAAAGGAGTCTGACTTAAACAGTCTGCTTTTTGTTCCTCCCCTTGCTAGTTAAGAAAACCCAGCTCAGCAGGGAATAGGGGTGGGAGCCTGGGGGGAGAGAAGCAGGAAGAAGAGTGTCAGTTCCTGCCACTGCACACCAAAAACCCCTGAGTAAATGCACATCAATAACAGAACTAGCTGTAAACTTACTTTCAAAGACCATGCTTATTTCTTTGCATTTGACTGAAGAATTAAATACAGATTTCAATGCTGGAATAATACAGATTTTAAAGTTCATGCATTTATTTCTATGTCATGGGTGTGGCCCTGGGCAGTGTGGTTGAAGCAGAGCTTCATTTCTGATCAAATTCCTCTCAAAGACAGTTTTTGTGCAACTAGGTGCAAAGTTATCCCAAAAGTACCCCAGTGAATTGACAGCTATTTATAACTGATACACGAGGAGACAGCCAGAGAAAGGCAGTGGCTAAACAGAAATCCTCCCACTCCAAAAAAGAACAACCCAAAACTTGAAAACCCCCATGGAGAGGCAGCTCCCAGCAGGGACCTGCACAGGTTTAGATCCCCAGCAACATCACAGACACTCCAAACCTCTCCAGTACTCCTAAGAAAGGATTTTCAGTAGTGCAGCTGCCTTAATCCACCAAGTTCTGATGTTATAGAGCTCAATAAAATGAATTAAAATCTGGGAGCAGCATTTAAAGAAAGTCTGGAGAGGACACTGAGACTTAGACACTGATATCCCTAAAAATCCTGTGCTGCACCTGTGCCTGAAAGAGGCTGAATCCCAAAATCTCAGACTGGGCTGGGAGGGACCTCAGAGCTCATTTCATTCCCAGCCCTGCCATGGCAGGGCCACCTCCCACTGTCCCAGGAGCTCCCAATGTCCAGCCTGGCCTTGGGCACTGCCAGGGATCCAGGGGCAGCCCCAGCTGCTCTGGCAATTCCATCCCAGCCCCTGCCCACCCTGCCAGGGAACAATTCCTGCCCAAGATCCCAAGATCCAGCCCTGCCCTCTGCCACTGGCAGCCATTCCCTGGCTCCTGGCCCTGCAGCCCTTGGCCCCAGTCCCTCTCCAGCTCTCCTGGAGCCCCTTCAGGCCCTGCAAGGGGCTCTGAGCTCTCCCTGGAGCTTCTCCTGGCCAGCTGAGCACCCCCAGCTCCACCAGGCTATCCCATAATAGTCTTACCAGTGGCTTCTACACCTGCAAACACTTTGATTTATAAGACATAAACCTTTATTTTAATAAGCACAGACAGACCCTCAGTGGGTTCTATCCCTGGCCAGGGAAATGCAGGAAGAGTAAAGATCACCCTGCAGGAACCTCGACTCTCCAGGCACCATTTCCTGCTGGGACACAGCAAATCTTTGCATCCCACATGGGAAAACATTCATTGCCCAGCAGTCAGAAACTCTGATGTGCACCAGTGTCATTGCTCTCATTGAACTCCAATTCACATCAGCAGCTGTAGCTTTTCATTCAACATCTGACCTTCTGTGAACTCCTTTACTCTACACCAACAGCTTCATTATTGAAATTACCAGCACAAATATCAGTGTAGAGTTCTCTGCAGCCCCCAGAATTTCTCCAGTTTTACAGAGCGCAAAGTAAAAGCAGCTTTTGTCTGACAAACTCCTCCTGCAGAAATAGGGCACATTTCCATTTCTAGTTGCAGAAGTTGGTGTCAGGCTGCTGGATTTTACTGTGCTGCTCTGGAATAAGCAGCACCTGAACTGCAGGGAGGGCCTGCCAGCAAACACCACCTAATTCCACTCATTTCTGTTCCTAATGAAATTGGGATAATGTGGTGCCCTTGCATTTGTTTCATTTGTGGTCTGGCCGGAACCAGGGCAGAGTAAATGGATTAAACACTGATTAAATATTATATTCTGTAGGCCAGGCCTGTGTTTGTACCTAATGACAAGAGCTGCAGTGGGCTCAGCACCACCCCAGGGCTCAGGTGCTGACAAATCTTTCCCCATGGAGCTTTTCCTCCTCCTTTCTCTCATCTTTTGTGCAGAATGAAGAGCCAGCTTGATGACTTTTGCATTTATGAGGTGCAGAAAAACAGAACACAGGCAGCTTTCCCATCAAATCTGCTGTAATTAGCACACAAACCATCTCTCCATGAAAGCAGCCCTGTGTTAAAGCAAAGATCACCGTGCAGGTCCCAGGTCTGGACTGATTCAGCTGCTGGATGCACAGCCCCAGATGGAACAGGCTCAGGCAGGAGCAGTGAGCAGCACTCAGGTCTCACACATGGATATGGATGCTAACTGTGAAGCAGTGCTTGTGGAAGAGCAGGACACATAACTCTCTCGGTCCTGCCTGAGAAAGTGGCCTGGGAAATCATAAGGCCAGATGTCGCTCTATTGGGAATGGTGAGAAGAACAACACAGACTCTCTTGTGGAGTCAAACTGAAGAATTTCTCCTAGTTTACTGCTTCTGATTTTTTTAATAGACCAATACATGAAAGTATAGAAAAGTAAAACTCTTATTGGTCAGTAAACTAACACATCACCATCATTGGTCAGTGGGGTACACCACCCCTCAACCTTCTCTTGCAAGAAAACAAGGAACAGACAAACAGCACCTGCAAGGCTGTTTTCTATCTCTGTGGATTGTTTTAATTCCTCTTTATGATTTCCCAAGCCACTTTCTCAGGCAAGACTGAGAAAGTTATGTGGCCTGCTATTCCACAGGCACCGTGCTCCCTGCTTCACTGTTAGCATCCTTACACGGATGCCTGAGCAGGAAGCCACAGAATTACCCCCACTTTGCCCACAGAGTTGGGAAGGCTGGGAGGGAAGCAGATGTCAGGAACAGGGAAGTCACCCAGCGACTCTGTCCTGCTAAAATAAGGAACTCCAAGTCCTGGAGAACACCTGGCATTGATTAGCTCAGTTCTCCTTTCATTCCAAGGGGCCAGGCACACAGGAGATGCTTTTTGAGGCCCCATTCCTAGGGCTCTAAAGAAAAGCAGATTATTCTGCTTAAGCACAGTTATCTCCCAAGCCACTGCAGGCCCAGCTCAAAGCCCAATTAGAGGCTTCTTAATTGATCAGCAGCCTGGAGGAGTTTGGAGCTGGTGAAGGGTAGAACAGCACAGAAGCTGTCCTGGCAGACCATAATACTCCACTCCTTTGCTCATTGAGGTCCCAGAGATTCTTTCCTTAAATGAGGAGTACAAGGGACACAGGAATTCTCAATGCTAATAAAAACCAGGGAGCTGCTGCATGGAAAGACTCTGAATTCTGGGGAAGTTTTCTGGGCCCAGAAATGAGGGATTGATCAGATTTATTCCTTGTGTCCCTCCAGCTGGGAAGGATCCTTTAGGAAACACAGGCCAGGCTTTTCTCAATGATTACAATCAACTGTAGCTAAGATCAGTAGAATGATCAAGAATAGGAAAACACTTCCAAAACACCACACACAGACATCCAGACAATTCCTTATGGACTCCCATCCCTGGCAGTGTCCCAGGCCAGGCTGGACACTGGGGCTGGAGCACCTGGGACAGTGGGAGGTGTCCCTGCCATGGCAGGGCTGCCACTGGAGGGGCTCTGAGGTCCTTCCCAACCCAAACTATCCTGGGATTTCTCATATCAGAGAATTAATTCCAGAGTTTTACAAATTGCTTCACCTCAGAATTACAACCTTCCTTCCCTGAAGACTCCTGTACCTCCCCTTCTCTCCCAGTAACAATCAAACACCACCTACAAAACCCCAACCCAGCTATTCCAGGAGCAAACACTGATGGTAGAGCCCTTTTCTGCAGCTCCCATCTCTCACACATTTTGAGCTCATTACTCCAGAACTTCCCCCTCAAAAGTACTCAAGGATCTATATCTATATTAAATATTTACTCCTCTTAATTCAGATGATTGAAAAAAGAAGAGAGACACAGAGAAAGTCCATGAGCTGCTTTATGATTCCTAAAGGCAGCTTGAATAAGTTTTAGTTCAGCTTCATTAACAAAAATGTGCAGGTCTTGTCTCTATGACAACTCCAGAGGGAGTGGAATGATTCCCTTCCTCTCAAGAGCCTGGAAAACTGAATAATTCAGAGGGGAAGAGATCCTTAGTCAGACTATTTACAACTGTTTGGTTCTGTTAACACCTATTTAAAGCCAATGCCTATGGAACATTTTTGGAAAAAGAATGTCTTGTTTAAGACAAAACTTCTTTCCTTGTTTAATTTAGAGGCAAGAGAAGTTCCAAAGGGACATTTGAACACTCACTGAGGCTTCAGCAAATCAATCAAAAAAAGACAACCAGATCAGCTTTGATATTTGTAAGATGAAGATAATTAGAAAAGAAAATAAGCTCTTTATTTAAAAGCCATGTAGATCTGGGCATGCAGGTTTCCAAAGCAATAAAATAATTCTTCTCTTTCTCCTGTCAGAGCAAAATTCTGCCTTTAACAGCCCTTACTGCACCAGAAAGTTTTTGTAATGGCAATAAACTCCCTTCTCAAATGGTTCACAGAGGAAAAGGGAGCACATTTCTCCAAAGTTCTCCATCCCTCTGCTGTTTTACCATTTTAGAATGAAAACCAGTTTTAATTCTGTCTAGCACCAAAATCTGTGTTGGTAGTAATATTATTAACGCAAACCATGAATAATCAGAGAATCATGGAATGGTTTGGGCTGGGAGGGACCTCAGAGCCCCTCCAGTGCCACCCCTGCCATGGCCAGGTACACCTCCCACTGTCCCAGCTGCTCCCAATGCCCAGCCTGGCCTTGGGCACTGCCAGGGATCCAGGGGCAGCCCCAGCTGCTCTGGCAATTCCATCCCAGCCCCTGCCCACCCTGCCAGGGAACAATTCCTGCCCAAGATCCCAAGATCCAGCCCTGCCCTCTGCCACTGGCAGCCATTCCCTGGCTCCTGGCCCTCCACACACAGGTCCAGGTCTGGCAGGGGTCAAAGAATTTGGAGCAGAAACACCTTAATTCCTCAGGAAAATCTGGCAGTGTAGGAATGTCTGTGCTGTGTAAAAGGCACCAGATTTGGATCTGGTTGAACTCACCATGGAGCGACAAAAATTTCCAGTTTCAAGCTTTGACTCCAGCTCCATTGGAAATAGTCTATGTCAATCTTCATTTTTGTAACAAATATTCCAGGTCTTGCCTAGGCTCTCCCATTAGCAGATTTATAACTAATTACTGTGCTTAGCAATTGTATTAGTGCAGTTTTAACAGAGCTGAAAGCATTTAGCAATCTGAGATGAGGGTTTCAAACTGCCATTTGGGACACCCAGGGCCTCCTGCCCACCTGGGACACCTGGGGCATCTCCCAGCCCCTCTGCCCCGAGGCTGGACTGTTCCATGGGGTTGTGGTGACCCCAGGGCAGGACCCAGCACTTGTCCCTCACCCCAGTGAGGCCAGGCCAGGGCTCCAGGCTGCCCAGCTGCCCCTGCAGTGCCCTGGGGCACAGGCTCAGCCAGCCCAGCACTGCCAGCAGTGTGTGTGCATCTCACACACACCCCCCCCGAGCTGGGCTGGCCCCAGCCCCACCCCACACTCACCATATCTGTGCTAGCACTGGCTGAGGTAACCCAGATTGGAAAAAAAAGTTCCTGGCTTGATCACCTGTAAAATAAACAGGAGAGGCTTCAGCTCCAGCTCCAAACAGCTGGCAGAGGGAATAGGGAATCAGGAGGTAAAAATACCTGCAACAGAAGCCCAACCCATTCCATGAGTGATGATCATTTACAAAGCACTAAGAAAATTCAGTGTAAGAGAACAGAGTAACAGGAATCCTATTGCCTTTGAGACCAAATTTTGATGAAAATTTATTAGGATCAGTGCAATTCCTTGATTTGGAGCTTTGCTTCCCACTGCTTCAATCAGTTCTGCATTTAGATCTTTCCAAGAGGTCAACCAAGCTGATGTCAGTGCTGTACAAACTGAATTTCTAAACCTGATTTCAGTTAAACTGACACACCTTTATTAAATCAGACCTTTTATTCATCACAGTATTAGTGTGGTGGGCTGGCCCCAGGCACAAAGAACCCATCACTCCCTTCCACAGCAGGATAGGGAAGAGAAAACATCAGAAAATAACAGAAAAGTTGGGGCTGATGTGGCAAAACATTTGAACAATGTGATATAAAATAAGAAACACCTGTTTGAATTTTCTAATTATTATGACCATATGTCTGGCAGGCAACTCTGCACACATTTAGGCTCACTAGTTAAGATTTAACTAAACAAAATTAGAAGTGGGAACTGTTTGTTTACCAGTGATAAATCCAGCAGTTGGTTTCAGACTATGGAACTGTTGATCATGCTTCGCTCTCTCCTCCACAGTAATAGCCCAGATATCCAGGTTGCCTGGTTCAAAAGAAAGGGAGAAATGACATTAACACTACCTAAAAAACACCTTCTTTTCTTTCTAACTGTAATAATCTCACAGCATTCTGGGCCTCTGCAAACAACCCAAGGGTGGAAGGTCATTTGCCCCCCAGAGCACACCCAGCTGGAATTCCAGCTCCTTTTTACCTGCAAATCTTCCTGCCCATATTCCATCTGACCCTGCCCACAGAAATGCTCGGAACAGATACAACTTTTAAGTACAACCAGAGCAGTTTCTCTGTCTCAGCACTGAGATTTCTCTTTGTAATCCTTCTGCAGATCAGCTGCAAAACTCAACTGCCAGATGGATTCCCAGGATCTGCAGGGCCCTACAAGGAAGAGGGACTGTTCATCAGGAACTGAGTGACAGGACAAGCAGGGCTGGGTTCAGACTCAAAGAGGGGAAATCTGGGGGAGTTATTCAGGAGGAATTGTTCCCTGGCAGGGTGGGCAGGACAGCTGGGGCTGCTCCTGGATCCCTGGAAGTGTCCAAGGACATTGGGGCTTGGAGCAGCCTGGGACAGTGGAAGGTGTCCCAATGGCAGGGGTGGGATGGGATGAGCATCCCAATCCAAACCACTCTGGGATTGTGTGGGATTCTGTGATTTCATGTGAACAGCAAAAATCCTGTCCCTACTGCACTGCCAGGGCCCATCCTGGATTTTTCACTGCATCTCCAGATGCTGCAACTTCTGCTGTAAATGAAGAGCTAAAAAATGTGTTCCCTTTGCTCTAATCTAAATGTGGGTGACAGGACAACAAGGGAAAAAACTGGAAGTGATGCCACCCAAAGGCATCTGCTGGACCTTTGAGCAACCAGTAAGTCCAGGAACCATGAAAGGAAAAAGCATCTGCATTTCTCCAGTCCAAGTGGAGCAGGATGAGGTGGTGCCCCACTGCCTGAGTGGCCTGGATGTGCCCTGCAGGGACAGAGTGGGGCTGGATGGGATCAGTACAGCACACAGGGCTCTGTGCTGTTGGCTGGGAGGTGTCTGCAAAGCCATCACAAACACTTCCCTAAGGAAAACTCTCAGAAAGGAATGTGTTTATACCAAGATTTTGCACAAGGAGCAGTTCAGAACACACCAGAAATCACTTACCCCCAAAAGGTGTTGGAAACTGAGCCATGGTTCTGTCACTTTTAGCTTGTTAATAGATGCCTGGAAAAAAAAAATAGATATTCAACATAGTATGTTCCATTTTCCACATATTTTCTGTATGATTAACTACTACAGGGAAAAAAAAAAAAAAAAAAAGGCAGTGAAGAAGCAGGATTGTATCAATACTTCCCACACCAACTGGGACTTCCAAAACTCAGTGTCTCATTTTTGTACCTCCCTGTGCATCTATGAGGGCATCTTCCTACCAGCAAACTGCTACATTTCAATTCTGCTTTAAGAACAGCCTCAAAGCCAGCCTTTATTTATAAAAAAGTATTTCTTTATAAATAGCCAGAGATGGAGTGAGGGCAGAGCTCAGATCCCAAGGATGCTGCTCCATGACTTTCCTGAGTGTCACAACCCCTGCTCCTGCTTAGGAGGGAAATTGGCTCCATTTCTAACTGTTGAAACCCAACAGCAGTGATCTGGTTTTTATTCCTGACACAAAATGCCCTTGCTCAGGGTGCCTTTGTTTTAAACCACACACAAGATAAAGATGGAGCTTCATGTCCAGACTGCTTTGGCCGCAGGTTTGAGGAGCACCAAGGTGCTGTGGGAGTGGGGGGAGCCCCCAGGAGAGCACCTCTGGCTCTGCAAACAAAGCAACCACACAGGCCCCAAATTTCATCTGGACACAGAAAAGGAAAAACATTTTTCTTGCTGCACACAAAGGCTGACATGAGCTGCCTGAGCCAAGGGACAATGAGCAGCACCGGAGCCGCACAACAATGAGCAAGGGCCTCTTGTCCTGCCAGATTCCACTCGTGTCTTCCAGGCAACAGCAGAAAGGCAAAGGGGAACAGAATCGGGAGAATAATTTAGGCTGCTTGAACAGCAGCAGAAATTTATCAATATCCCTAAGAAAAGGCATTCACTTGCACCAACAATTTCCTTTTGTCTGAATTCCTGTTTGCTCCCCTCCCCATCCCCCTTTCACACTTCCCACATTCTCTTCTGGCTTCCAACTTGGGAACCTCCTCTGTATCCCCTCCCCAGATGTCCCTGCACAAACCCCTGGCGCTTTTGCCAGCCAGGCTCCCCAGCAGTTGGAATTTAGGGAATGATGGACACAATCCTGACTCTTTTTCCTCATGATTTGGCCAAGGACACAACTCCAAAGCCTTGTGCCCGAGGCCAGGGAAGGCAGCTGATGCTGCTCCGTGCACACGCAATCCTGGAACATTACATTACTCCAAAAGTTTCAAATTCCAGGTGCAGAGATCCAAGTGTTCAGACTGAGCTCCCTGTGCTCCCAAAAGCATTCCTGAAGAGCTGAAAGATCAGCACTTTTATCTTTGCTTGTGTTTTCTTATTGTACTCTGCTGTGGGAAAGAGCTCAGAGATGCTGCTGGGTTTTATGACTGCAAGGAAACCCTGAGGAAAAAATAAAAGGAAAAAAAAAAGAGGAGGGGAGGAAAAAGGAGGAAGGAAAAAAGGAGGAAAAAGTAAAAACAAACCAAACAAATAGAAAACTAAAACAAAACTAAACTTTAAAATAAATAAATAAAAAAAAGAAGAAAGCCCCAAAGCAGAAGTCCCCCTCTCACAGCCCAGGCAGTTTCCATATTATCTGTTCTTTTTAGCACAAGGGGAAGCAGCAGAGCATTTCCAGAGCTGAGACCTCCAGGGAAGAGCCTCCTCCACAGACTGCCAGGATTCCAAAGGAACTGACTCCCCTTTGCCTTGAACACAGGAGGAAAAGGAGAGGGAGTGGGAACTCTGAACACCAGCCCCATGCTGGATGCCAAGGAAAGCAGAAACTATTCCAAAGAACTTCCAGAGGTAAAAAAAAAAGAAAAGAAGAGAGAAAAACCCAAAGCCAGATGAAATAACGATGAGGGAATAGAGAGAAGGAGCAAAGAACTGTGCTTAAATGTGAGAGGCTGAAACCCAAACAAGAGACAACTGTGGACAGGGAAGCAAACTGAGGGAAAGACAAATCTCTCCCTTGCAGGAATATGCTGGAGTTTACACTTTACTGCTGATGGATCCCCCAAGTTCCATAACCACAGGTGTCATTGTGCATGACTGAGGTGACACCAGGGGCCCCAATTCTCTCTCCCAAAGCCTGGACCAATGGATTTCTGGGGTCCATCCTGACCCAAGTTGCTCTGTGATTCTGTTTTTGGGGTTGAAGAGCTCAGGGATGGAGAACAGTTATTATTTATCCCCAAAACATCTGGCACAGCTATATTATAAAATATCATATATATGTGAAGTATTGTAAAGCAAAGAAACCAGGCCAGGATCCTGAGGCTGGAAAAGCCCTCCCAGCCCAGGGAGTCCCAGCTGTGCCCGATGCCCACCTTGTCCCCAGCCCAGAGCCCTGAGTGCCACGTCCAGCCCTTCCTTGGGCACCTCCAGGGATGGGCACTGCAAAGCTCCCTGGGCAGCCCCTGCCAAGGCCTGAGCTCCCTTTCCATGGGCAAATTCCTGCTGCTGTCCACCCTGAGCCTCCCCTGGCCCAGCCTGAGGCCGTTCCCTCTCCTCCTGTCAGGTCTGTGGGGCACTGGAGCACGTTGGTGCTCCCAGGCCAGGGAGAGCAGTGCCAGATCAATGACATTCCAGGAGATCAATAATTTGAAATGCCCACAGGACCATTCCACAGCTGCTCCCTGTGATTGCCCCTGCTCGGGGCTGTTGGCCTGTGCTGATCTGGGCAGGCAGAAAGGCCCCTGGCTCTGAGAGCTGTTCCAGTTGCACTGAACATCTCCTGGGTTCCGGGGCTTGACCTCTGGGTCACCTGGCAGGGGGAAAGCCCAAAAAGTCTGGGAAATCACAGAATGGTGGAATGGTTTGGGTTGGGAAGGACCTTGAAGCCCATCCAGTTCCACCCCTGCCACGGCAGGGACACCTCCCACTAGAGCAAACTCCACAAGCTCCCCTTCCATGGATTCCCACAGAGCTCAGAGCACAAGGAGCCTTTCCCCACGCCTGACCTGGGGATGATGAGATTCCCCCTGGCACAGGGATGGAAAATGCACAACAAACACCAGGAACAGGGCATTCCAACAGCACCAGTTTTACATTAGGTACAACTGGAACTTCTATCACCTACACAATTATCTTTATAGGCACTAATTAGAAACATTTGCTTACCCCCAGCTCTGAGAGAGGGAGACAGGCCCTGCCCAGCCAGCTCAGCTCTCAGGGCTCTCTTCCACCTTCCACTGCTGTAGATAAGCTCAGAAATCCTTAAATTCTTGATCCTCACTCCAAATTATTTCTTCTAATAAACCAATGCTCTATACACAAGCAGTGTTTATATACATATAAAATATATATGACCTAACTGTAACCCTAAAAGTTGTTCATATAAAAGTAAAACTGAACCACATAGAAACCAACTCCATATATATAAAATCTCAGCTCATATCTATATTTAAATACTGATGTTTAAAGATTTTACCTTGAAAAAATGAGCAGGTTGAAAATAACTCCAGTAAAAACATTTATTCGCGGAGTCAGACATGTATGAAAATTCCTTTCACAGTGTATGATACATGGACTTAAAAAACATGGCTCAAAACTTTACCAGTTTCTATTTAAAGTTAGCTGTGCTCTGCTGAGACCATGTTTACAGAGAAAACTGCAATAAAGCCACAGGAGGTATAAATTAAGAATAATTGAGCTATTTCAGCCCTGCATGCCTTTACACAAACATGTTTCACACAAAAAACATCCTATTTTTGTTTTCCCTAAAATGCAACACAGCATTTCTATTCCTAAACAATTCCTTATGAGATAATTCTTGATCTGAATGCCAAAATTAATTCCTGAGGCCACTTATCAGTCACCTTCCTCCTCCTACAGGAAAAAAAAAAGGGACAAAGGGACAAACCCAACCAGATAAAGTCCCCATATCCTCTAAGAATTCCAAATGACAACAAAATCCCCCCAAGCAGGACATCACGTGAGTGTCCCAGGCTGACAGCAGGGTTTGGAGTTTACCGATGTTCCATGGGAAAGCCTCTAGACCAGGATCAGTCAAGGGACTCAAAGTTTTAGCAAAGCCTGGTAATTTTGGAACACTGTTTCAAAACAAAAGTATTTTGAAACATTCAGGGAATTCTGATCCTTGCTCTTTGGAGATCAGATTTTAACTCAGTCACCACTTTGTAAAATTTTCCAGGGTTTCTGTTGCTTATAGGAATAACTGGGAAAATAAAAACCTTCACAAATGTCAAGTCCTGCCATTTCTTCTATTTTGTACCAAGCACCCAGAAGAGATTAGAAAAACACCTCCCCACTGCAGACAATTTTCAACAGCTGTGGCAATGATCAAACTGCTGAGAAGTCACTTCTGTATTCCAGAATCATGGAATGGGCTGGGAGGGACATTAAAGATCATCTGCCTGACAGGAGGGGACAGCCAAGGGGGAACAGGGACAGGAGGAGAGGGAACGGCCTCAGGCTGGGCCAGGGGAGGCTCAGGGTGGACAGCAGCAGGAATTTGCCCATGGAAAGGGAGCTCAGGCCTTGGCAGGGGCTGCCCAGGGAGCTTTGCAGTGCCCATCCCTGGAGGTGCCCAAGGAAGGGCTGGACGTGGCACTCAGGGCTCTGGGCTGGGGACAAGGTGGGCATCGGGCACAGCTGGGACTCCCTGGGCTGCGAGGGCTTTTCCAGCCCCTGGGATCTCTCACACATAACTCACCCCAGTAACTCCAGTTCAAACTGAACTGTGACTGGATTACAGCACCCTTTTCAAGAGGTGATTGACTCTCATTTTAACACAATGAAAAGCCAGTGCATCACTCAACTGTTTCTAAACCTCTTAATAAGAAATAAGTATCTTATTTTATTTTCAGTTTCATAGTTTTTGGCTTCATTCAGAACCACCAGACCCTGTAAAGCAGGAATTCCAGGAGTTTCTTAGTGCTACAGTTTGTTGATTTTTTTCAGTTGCCTTTACTCACACAGGTACAGCAGCAACCTGTTTGCTCATTTTGTTTGTTTTTGGGGAGTGTGTTAAAAATCCTCATTAACACAATGGCAGTGGG